GGTCTCAAAGCCCCAAAATCTCTAATCATATCACAAAATATGCTGAATGTGCGTCTATCCATGCGAAGTATACTCACACAATGAATGTCACTTTCTCTAGTGATTCTAAATAACCACTGCATTCTCTCTTTTTTTTTCTTCTTTAGATTTTATTGAATGTCTCACATTGTACAAATATACCAAAGTCACATGGTACCACATCATGAAAACCACAATGAAAGTCATAAGCATTGCAGACATAATTCAAAAATTGCGCATTCGCTTTCGTCTTCTATTTGTAATAGGAAGACGTGCCATTTATCTACAATAGAAAGTTACAAGAATAAGTAAAATTCTATTTCAAAATATATATAATTCTATGATATAAATAATTGTATTGAAGAAAATTACATGTCCAAAGAGGATTAATGTCCAAAGAGAATGATACATACATGGAGAGTAAATAAAAACTTGTAGAAAAATGAATTCCAACCTCGTTTGTTTCATTTTTTAGAATATTGTGCTGTATGACCTCAATATTACCTAGAAAAAGCAGGAAAATTCTGTACTTACTAGATCTAGGTGGTCAAACATCATAGCTAGTTACGAACTAGGCACACTTGAGAACAAGCACTTGATCCCATTTTATTTTAGCGTGTGAATCTGAAGAATTTAGGCATGAACCATTAATTGCTAGGTAGTTGGATTTGACTACGTATTTGTTTCCATTAATTAAGGTTTTCAAGAATTTCTCCCTAAAGTACCAATACAAGCGAGGCATAATGAACCAATGCAATACTCTTCAGAAATTTAGAAGAGCAAAGCAAAGAAACATAGGAAATTTCAGAAATTTTAGGAGGTGCAATTATAAGGCAAGATTGAAAATTTATTCAAGCCATTTTTAAAATTCTTCAAAGTTGAATGTGGCTCCGCTAATTAGCATGAGTGCTTATTAGCAATCAACTAGCTTTCGATAAATCCTTTCAAACATGCTAAATGGTAAAAGGAATAATACTTCATAAGGAGACAGGATAGTAATAGGACTTGTTCTATCAATAACAAACCAACCATGTTTTCTTCCTTCTCTGCCACACACGGAAGGCACTTTAATCCACAAGTGCCAGCCTAACTTTTTGACTTATTGCATTTTACTTGTTGCCAGGCTTTTCGGAAACCATTTTAAAATAATCCCTGAATCTTAGTCAAAGTGGAAATCACAGATAATGAAAGATGATATTTTAGGATTCAATTCTCAAGCTCAATGAACTTGACCACAGATGCATCACCCAATAACAACTTTCAATTAGTGGGAACAAATCTCAAATTTGCATATAAATCAAGAAAGTGCCAGCAAGCAATGAAAATATAACCCAAAAAGTCCATAGCGGAAGAGAAAACAAAAAACAAGCAGAACCCACAAAAAAAAGCACTAAAGCTCAAGAATCATGAAGATCTGCTGACTGCTAATATCAGAAGATAAAACAAAATCAGAAAAGCGTGCAGATTTGCAGGACCGTACAGAAAGCATAGTGCATACTGCTCCAAGAGCAAAAAATCTAAAGAAACTAGATACAAACCTTTTAAGGAGCAATCTACAAGGGAAATGGAAGATTGAATTAGCAGAGGAAAATCCATATGGCACAAAGAATACTTGTTTATGGATTTGGAGAATAGAGAACTTGGGACAAGAAAACAAACAGAAGAAAACTTGCATACCTCTCTAGTAGCACAGGTGTGGTCTTCCTCGTTTTTATTCTTCTTCCCACGCCGAAAGCTCCAGCTTGTCTTGTTTTTAGGGGGTAATTAGGGCAAAGAATTGGAGGGAGAAAGGCGATGGTGATGATGAAAAAGAGAGGAAGAAGAGGGACCGGGAATAAGATTTGGATTTTGGACAAAACCCACCAACTTACTAAGGAATGGAGGAATGCCAAATTTTTAGACATCATTCCAAAATTTTAATTTCTATAGTAGTAAACCAAACATGAATTATGAAGTTTATTCCATAACTTCATTCCGATACCCTTTTACCAAACGCCCTCTCATACATTATAAACAACAATTAACATTAAAACTTCAAATGCATGCAACACCTATAGCTCATAGTATAAGCAAGAATCTCCCTTAATGCTTCATTCAATAGCGCATATTCAATATTGGACATGTTTGCGACTCTTTTTGACTTTGTAACCTACAAAATAGACAACACCCACATAAAACTATACAAAAATGAAAAACACAAAAAATACAAGAAAACATTAAATCGTTGGGTTGCCTCCTTCAAAGTGCTTAGGGAGGATGTGCTTGTCATGCCAAAATTTCACTTTTTCCTTATAAATTTTGACATTTTCATATGAAGTTAAGTGCCACTCTTCCAACTCATTAAGTTCAAGCAATTTCTTTTCACTTACAAGTTTAAAATCAAAATTAATAGTCTTAATAGCCTAATAAGCTCTATGCTCTATTTCGACAAGTAAATGACATGTTTTCTAATAAACAAACTTATATGTAAACATTCCTAATGGCGTTTTAAATGCCGTTATATATGTCCACAAGGTATCATCTAACTTTTTTGGCCAGTCTTTTCTTGATTTATTCACGATTTTCTCCAAGATGAACTTAATCTCCTGATTCGCCAACTCCATTTGGCGATTGGCTTGAGGATGATAAGAAAGCGATATTTTATGCATATATTCGTATTTAAACAACCAAGTGTCAAATGATTTATTACAAAAATGCTTACCTTCGCTTATAATAGCCTTTGGAACACCAAACCTGCAAAATGTGTTCCGTTTAAGGAATTTAAACATAATTTTAGCATCATTAGTGTGTAAGGCAATAGCCTCCATCCATTTAGAAACATAATCAATTATTAAAAGAATGTACTTATTGTTAAAAGAAATAGGAAATGGTCCCGTGAAATCTATGTCCAAACATCAAATAATTTAACTTTCATATCTGTAGTTAAATGCATTTCATTCTTCTTAGAGATATTACTAGTTTTTTGATATTGATCACAACTCTTGACCCAATTTCTACATCTTGGTATATAGTAGGCTAATAAAAATCAGATTGACATACCTTTACTACTGTTTTAGTTGTACTAAAATGTCCTCTCATCTCAAGGATGTGACAATGCAATAAAATGCTATGTACCTCTTCTTCCGGAACGCAACTTCTAATTATATAATCCGCACAATATTTGTAGAAGAATGGCTTATCCCAAAAGTAATGCTTCGCATCATTTATGAATTTCTTCCTTTGGTAAGCATTCAAATTATTTGGTAGCACTCCACTAACCACAAAATTGATCAAATCGGCATACCACGGTGATTGTTTTATGGCCAATAAAAATTCATTTAGAAATTCCTCTTTGATAGGAATTTGATCTTCTTGTGGGATATTCTCAAGTTTAGAAAGATGATCCACAACTAAATTTTCAAATCCCTTTTTATACTTGATTTTCAAATCAAATTTCTGCAATAATAAAATCTATTGAAATTAATCAAGACTTTGCATCTTTCTTATTTAAAAGATATTTAAGAGCCGCGTGATCGGTATATACAATGACTTTATATTTCACTAGGTAAGATTTAAACTTATCTAATACAAATATCACCACAAGCAACTTCTTCTCCATTGTCGCATAATTGATTTAAGTCTCATTAAGCATTTACTTGCACAATAGCTAACATGAAGTCTCTTATCAAGCTTTTGATAAAAAATGGCTCACACCATAAAGTCACAAGTATCACACATCAATTCAAAGAGTAAACTCCAATCCGGTGATGTTATTATTGATGTGGAGACAAGTTCCTTCTTCAACCTATGAAAAGCAAATAAACATTCATCATTAAAGTGAAAAAAAAAAACATCTTTGACAAGTAAATCACATAGAAGTTTAGCAATTTTGAAAAAATCCTTAATAAACCACCAATAAAACTTCGCATATCTAAAAAAGTTACGAATGCCTTAACATTAGTTGATGGAGGCATCTTTTCAATCACTTCCACTTTTGTTTGATCTACCTCAATATCTTTTAAGAATATGTTATGGTCTAGAAGAATACCCTCAAAAATCATGAAATAACATTTTTTCCAATTGAATATAAGATTTATCTCTTCACATCTCTACAAAATTAGATCTAAATTATTAAGATAATGATCATAGATAGACTCAAATACAGAGAAGTCATCCATAAAAATTTCATGATTTTCTCATTAAAATCTAAAAAATTGCCATCATCCATTGTTGGAACATAGCGGGAGCATTGCACAAGCCAAAGAGTATCTTTCGAAAGACAAAAGTGCCGTAGGGACAAACAAATGTGATTTTCTTTTGATCCTCTGGTGCAATAACTATTTGATTATATCATGAAAAGCCATCCAAGAAACAATAAAAGTCATATCCTGCCAATTTTTCTAAAATTTAATCAAGGAAAGGAAGAGAAAAATGATCCTTTCTAGTAGCCGTATTAAATTTTTTATAATCAATACAAACTCTCCAACCCACTACGGTTCTAGAAGGAACATTTCATTATTTTTACCACACACTATAGTTATTCCACCTTTTTTAGACACGACATGAATAGGAGAAATCTAAATGCTATCAAAAATCAAAAAAATTATACCTGCATCAAGTCATTTAAGGATTCCTACCCTTACCACTTCCTTCATATTAGGATTTAACCTCCGTTAAGTCTCCACCATCGACTTAGTAATTTTTTTCAATAAAATTCGGTGCATACAAATGGTTAGACTAATTCTCTTGATGTCAAAAATGGTCCATCCTAGAACCTTTAGATTCTTCCTCAAAATTCATAAGAGCTTGTCAAGTTTCTCCTTATCAAGGACTGTATTGACAATCATTGGCTATATCTCTTTCTCTCCAAGGAATATATACTTGAGGTGGTTAGGAAGCGGCTTGAACTTGAGGCTTAGAGTTTGACCATAAGATAGTGTAGGAAGTCCCTTGCTCATCTCTAGACTTTCGTATATATTACCTTTTTTGTAAGGAACTTGTGCCTACAAATACTTGATCATTTCTTCTATTTTCTCTTCTTGCAATCCTACACCATTTAAACAAAGTTTAAGAGAATCATGGTATAGTTTAATTTGACTCATCTCTTGTGTCAGTTCTTTACATATGTCAATGAAATAAACATTATCAATAAAAGAGTGATACTTTTCCAATTTATTCAAATCAAACTCCACCTCTTTTTTGTCAATTTGAAACTTGAGTTTACCACGTTTAACATCTATTAGAGTATTTGCAGTAGCCAAAAATGACCAATCAAGAATAATGAGTATATTGATATCTTCCTTCATATCTAAAACAATAAAATCACCGGGAATAATAAATTTTCGTACTTTAATGAGCACATTTTCAAATATACCCAAGAGATGTCTAATAGACCTATCAATCAACTGTAAAGAGATGTTAGTATGCTTTAATTTATTCATCCCCAATTGCCTAGCAATAGTTAAAGGAATTAATAAGACACTAGCACCAAGGTCACTTATTACTTTAGAGAACTCTACATTATTAATAGAGAAAAGAACTGTGAAACTCCTCGAATCCTTCAACTTTGGTGGCAATTTATTTTGTATAATGTCACTACATTCCTCTGTTAATGCAGTAGTCTCACTATCTTCTAATTTTCTCTTTTTGGTCATTATCTCCTTGAAAAACTTTCCGTATGAGAGAATCTGCAAATAGCATCAACAAATAGAATATGAATGTGTAATTGTTTAAAAATATTGATAAACTTTTCAAATTCTTTATCAACTCTTAATGGCTTCAATCTGTGAGAAAATGGAACTGGTGGAGGAATTGGAATGATCTTAGAAGTCGATGGCTCCATCACTTCCACTTTGTCTTTTTTTTTTTTTTTTTACTTTTCTTGCTCTCCTTTACTAGCTCACTCCCCCGCTTGTTTTCTTTATTCTCATCTTCTCTCATTTTCTCAACAATTGGAGACTCACTCAATTGCTTACCATTATGGAGAATTATAACCTTCATGTGTTCTCTTGGGTTCACCTCGATTTTGCTAGGTAACTCCCCTTGTTTCCTATTGTTGATACTATTGGCATTTTGGCTTAATTAGATTTCAACATTCCTGTACATATTGGTAAGTTGTCCATCCTACCTTCAATTCTTTCGAACCGTTGAGTAGTAGCATTAGCTAACTTTTTAATTTTATCATTGGATGCATTTGCTAGTTTCTCAATTGCGAACTCCCAAGTCGGTTTAGACTCCATAGATGATTGCTTTAATTGAAAATCTGGCGGATTTGATGGTCTTAGTTGGTTCCCTTGATCCTTCCATCCAAAATTTGGATGATTTCACCATCCCGGATTATAAGTATTGGAGTATGGATTGTTTTGGGGTGGAGGGCTGTAATTCTTGAGATATTGAACCTGCTCAATACTTATACAAATAGAGTCATCATGATCTCTTCCGCACATTGTACAACATGCAACATTTACTCCTTGATTAGAACTAGAACTAACTTGCCTATTAAGCATCTTAACTACATTATCCATTTTGGCACTTAATATGTTCAATGTATCTATTTCAAATATACCTGCAGGTCTCCTTATTTAACCTCGCTCATTGGCCTATTGGTAATTGTTGGTAGCTATTTCTTCAATCAGTTGTTCAGCTTTCTTGGCAAACTTACCCATCAAACCTCCTCCCATTGCTGCATCTACAGGCGTCTTCATCGAATAGGTGGGTCCATTGTAGAATGTTTGTACTATGAGCCAATCGGATAAACCATGATGAGAACATCCTCGTTTTAACTCCCGATAACACTCCCATGTTTAATACAATGTCTGTCCTTTTTGTTGACAAAAACTCGTTATATCCATACGAAATTTAGCAGTCATACAGAGTAAAAAGAACTTATTCAGAAAAGCTTTGGATAAATCAGCCCAAGTGGTAAAGTATTAGAAGAATAAGATTATAACCAAACCTTGGCCTTGTCTCTTAATGAAAATGGAAACAACCTAAGTTTAATTGCATCATCACTAACACTGTTAAACTTAATTGTATCACAAATTTCTAAAAATGTAGACAAATGAGAATTCGGGTCTTTAGTAGCATTACCTCCATATTGAAATTGTTGTACCATTTGTATAAGAGATGATTTAATCTCAAAATTATTAACATTTATCATAAGTCTCACTATGCTTATTTGCGAACTATCACCTCCAAGTAGAGCAAAATCCCTTAATGCTCATCGATTCACCTCTTCAGCCATAGGTTTGATCGGTGGAAGTTCAATTATTATATCTCCCTCATCTTGAATCTCCACAGCTTCTTGTAGTTCTTGCCTTCATTGTCATCTTAGAGTTCTTTCAATTTCTGGATCCAATGGAACCGTTGCGCGTAACCCGCGGTGTATGCACTATAAAGATCAAAATGAAGAAAATTTTACTACGACTAAACAAACCAAGTAAAGTGGAATAAACAAACTACTCTATTAACTAACTAAAAGATATTCATAATATAACACAATATTTAGTCTAATAAAGATCACTTAGTCCTAATATTGTAGTGGTTCCTCGGCAACGGCACCAAAAATTTGACGAGATTTATACCTGTGCTCTAATTTTAATTCTAATCTCCTCGTTGACCGTAAGTACATGGGTCGTGAATTGTAGTACAGGGAAATAAGGTCGAATCCCTAGAGAACCACTTTTGAATTACTAAGGTTTTTAGCTCACCCTATTATCTAAATTTACCAAGAATTTTAGCTTGTTTAATCAATCAAAATGCTAAAGTAAAACAAAGCAAGTTAACAACTTGAAGTAACTCAATTAAACACAAGTGTCTTAGGGTATAGAATCAACTAAATATGCCTAACAAGGAATGAAATAACCAATTACTACTAATATTCTTGTTTTGCTAAGGATGCATTTCACTCAAGCCATCAGAATTTGTTCTCGCCAATAAGCTGAACTTAGCCTGCACTAGAGTTTCCCTACTTTCGTGGTGAAATCTCAAATATAAACTCGATCAAACACAAGAAATGTCGTAAACATCCACCTAAGTGCACCACTACTTTCGTGTGCCTACTCCTTAAGCTCATGTATTCTATTTTCATTATTGTTAACTATTCTTATATATTAACAACAACTAAAATAATTGGTAAATGGTGATCAAGCATTCAAAAGTGTTAAAACAAGAATAAGAGAACTAGTAAGTACAAGATCTAGCAATAATCAACTAGATCTAACCATAATCAATGTACAAATAACTTCATCTACCCCTAGAACAAAAAGATTTAACTAGACATAATAAATTCAACAACAAAGCTCATGTTTTCAAGGTAACTATGCATTATCGACACAACAAAGAGAGTAAAGAAATGCTTATTCAAATGAAGAAACAAGATCTTTAAGCTTCATTCATCTTCATTGCCATCAAAAATACATAATATATCAATAGTTCTCCAAGTTCTTCTCCAAGAAAAGATGAAAACTAGATGTAAAACTATGTCTAAACTAAACTTGAGAGAAAAGAGAAGAAAAAGTTCTCTTCTTTTTTTGTCCAACCTTCTCTCTCCTTAATTATATCTTTCTTCCTTGTTAAAAATCAAGAAAAAGAAGCTCCTAGATCTCCCAAAAGATGATGTACAATTGTTTTTTTTTTTGTGTCTTGTCAAGATGAAGAAAAAAAGAATCCATGCAAGTTGACAAGTTGCAACCACCATGAATCCCTAGAGCGAATCCCTGCAGGGATTCTCCAAGGGATTGAGCAGCGCAACACAAATTGAAGGTCTGGCCACAAACCGTGGATGGATTCTCCCGCGATTTGTCTCCCTTCCTTTCTTCGTTTTTGTTTCTTTCTTTGACGCTCAATCCTTCCTTGCACTACTTCCGTTAGCCAATGTTATGACTTTTCTAGTTTTGAATCCTTGCTCATTTTAGTTCCAATTAAGGTTGATCATTTTACCTACAAAATAAAAGAGATTTTGCATGTAAATGACAAAAATCATAACTATTCCATTTATTAGCTTAAAGTGCCAGTTAGTGGCACAAAATGGACAATTTATACCAATTGATCTTACAAATGGACTCAAAACTAATATGAAACATATTACAAAAGAAGACAAATTTAGCTCTTATCAGAAGTTATAAGCAAATAATGTAAAAATAGCCATTAGGTGATAAAACCAACCATACAGGTGGTAGGTTACAAGAAAGTAAATAAAAATAAAGACAAGTTAAATTAGAATTACTTAAAGATGAAGTGAGAGGATCCTAGAGATTAGAATCCCTTGTTATGTCAAGATTAGAAGTTAGTTAAGATGATTATGCTTATGCTTTCATGATTGTTAAGGAACACCTTCCAATTTTATGTCCTTACTTTCGCCAATGGACACTTAAGAGAAATCACTTTGGCTAATTTATCTAGAAATTGCTTTTGCTGATTTCTTTATCTTGTTGAATCATCCTTCACCTATTTTCATAGAAAAAAAGTAAGAAACAAGTTAAATAAGTTCAGTGAAGTTATTGCATAAATCCAACCAACCATTATTCACAACTTTCGTGAGAATAAGGCTAATGGTTAAGAACTTAGATCTATTAGAAGGCAACTTTCATTGCTCAACTTTATCAAATCATTCATAGTTGATGGCCAAATAACTATAAAGAATAAGTACAAGTTCTCAAACTAACAAATCATGAAAGAGCATAATTATTCCCTAACTATTTCAAATCAAAACTATAACAAGTTCATCTTCACCCTAGAATATGAAAAAGATTTGTTAGACATCATATTAAAAACATCTAAGTATGAAACAAATATGCAACAAAGCATGGCAAATAAGAATAAGAGACAAAGTTTGGGAAGAAGAATTCTCATTCAATGTCTTGAACTTTGAATTCTTGAATTCCTTAACAAGTTGATCTCTCAAATAAACTTGATACAGGAGTGTTTCTCACCTCCTTCTCAAAGCTTTTAAACTAAGAAAGAAACTTTCAATATGAAAGTAGAGTTAAAACTACTCTTATCTCTACTTCTATTCTACTCTACTTCACACTACAAGAAGCTATTCTTGTTAGCATTCATGCTCAAATGAATGAAATTCAAGGGATATTTATAGATGTTTTGGAAGAGAAGATGTTCTCATATGTAATCACAAAGTTGTTTTTCTCTTCTCCAACTCAAATTTAGTTGGTTCCACCCATTTTTCTTGTAGAGGAATTGGCCAAAAAAGTTTATGTGAATAGAGTGCAAGTTACAAAAGAAGCTACAGCTTCGTTTCATGGATCCACGAGGTATGTGCCTCATGGATCTGCCTCGCGAATCTTCTTTGTCTTCAGTTCTGCACATGCAGCTCAAAACTCAACTTTGCTCTATTTTTGGTCCAATTTCAACTATAATTTTCTTGATGATGGAAGTCGAATTACCTTTTGTACAAAACATAAAATTGTATCTCTTTGAATTATCTTTCTAATGCATTAAGAATCATCTCATTTGGATTTCTGTAGGTTGATATATTATCAAATACCCTTGGCTAGCCGGTGCTTTATTTTGGCTTTCGACAAAAAATTTTACTGACTGTATTTCAGCTTTTTGACTAGGAAACTTAATGAACTGGATTTCGATATCTTATAAGAATTGTAGAGCTATGTTTTATCTTCAAAATGGCTTAAGAATCACATCAATCTGATACTTGTAACTCAAGATATAGCTCAATGTGTCAAAGTTATAAAACTCCTTTTGACTTGAATCTCTTCATATGCTACCAAAACCTACAAATCAATATTAATTTGAATATTAAAAAACACTTTTGCATGTTTTGGTTAAGAAACACTACTTGTATGAAAAATAATTTATAAAGGAATTCAATTCTTTCATTTTAATTTGAAACACATCAAAAACTTAACTTAAAACCTAACTAAAAATAGGTAAAATAAAGGCTACTCAAAGGAGTTAATGTTCACTGGTGAAAAAATAACATCTATTTGAAAGTTATTTCTTGATAAATCGTGGAAGCATAGAGTATAATCACCTTAATTAACTTATAAGCTTGACACAATAAGGGATTCTAATCCTTGGGATCCTCTTATTTAATCTTAAAAGTAATCCTAATCTAACTTGTTCTTTATTTTTATTTATTTTCTTGCAACATACTGCCTAAGTTGGTTTTACCTCTTAATAGCCAATTTTATATTTATTGCTTATATCATATGGCCGGTTGTGTCATCTAAACTAACAACTTCCATGATCGATTTTATTGCCTAGTTAACTTTCTTGGTTTTTACTTCCTTAAACTTTTATTGTCTAGATATTGAAGCAAATAATTAAACTCAAGCAATTGCTCCATTCTACGTCCCCATGAGATTGATACCTATTATCTCTATACTTAATAAACAAACTATGCACTTGCGAAAATACGGTAATAAGGTTTTAAAATTTGTAATGTAGTAAGAATACTCTATCATGAACATAACTCCAATTGGTCAACAATTTTGGCTTTAAAATTTGCAGTCTAGTAAGAATACCCTATCATGAACATAGCTCCAATTGGTCAACAATTTTGGTTTAAAGTTAAAGCTCATCATTATAGAAGAAATAAAGTCAAGAATTGTTGGTATAATCTCCATTTTACAGCTGCAAATTTTTTACAAATTGTCCCTCAAGAGGTGTGAAATGATAGAGTTGAAATCAAGTTGCGCAAATTGAAACCGCAAAAGTTTGACAAGAATCCCTTTGATAATCCCTCCAATTTTTGGCTAGATTCATTCCCTGTTTCCCCAGAACATTTTGTTTTGAATCCCTCTAAATAATCCCTCCAAAAATTAGCCAGATTCTTCAGAGAGATTCGAGTCGACTTTCTTTTTCGATAAGTTTCTTCATTTTCTTTTTCCAGAGACTTGAATCACCTTTGAAACACGTCATCCTTGCAAACATTAGAATTTGATCATTATAATATAAGCTCATTTCTTGTCCAAAATGAAGGTGTGAAATGATAGAGTTGAAATCAAGTTGCGCAAGTTGAAACCGCAAAGTTTGACAAGAAAAGTTTGACAAGAATCCCTTTGATAATCCCTCCAATTTTGGCTAGATTCATTCCCTGTTTCTCCAAAACATTTTGTTTTGAATCCCTCTAAATAATCCCTCCAAAAATTAGCCAGATTCTTCAGAGGGATTCAAGTCGACTTTCTTTTTCGATAAGTTTCTTCATTTTCTTTTTCCAGAGACTCGAACCACCTTTGAAACACGTCATCCTTGCAAACATTAGAATTTGATCATTATAATATAAGCTTATTCCTTGTCCAAAATGAAGTCCATTTCCAACTCTTATAAGAATAATAAAAAATATGCAAGTATAAGGGACAAAATTCTTCTTTAAGCTCTAAGTAGAACTAATTCTAGCAAAAATGGACCATTTTCTTCTTATAATATTTAAAAAATGACTAAAAGTAATATAAAATGTCATCCAAATTTAGCCCAAAATAGTCATTTATCACGCAAGGCATTTCTCCATTATGTATTTCTCTAATTCTTTGCCTTACTTTTTTGGTAAATAATTTTGCTAATCTCGCCAAAAACTTTTCTTTCTAATGTGAATGATTGCAATCAATTTGGAAAAATATTTAGGTAAGAACATATCTTTATACCATCTGAATTCATGTAATTTTGGACACATTAAGTTTACTAAGATTTCTAAGTTTCTATCTTGTAATTTTTTTGGATCTCCTATAAAATGTTTATGAAGGGCATATATTAAAGTTGTAATAGAGTCTGGTTCTTCTGTTGTCATTACCACTTCTTGACCTTGCACTTCTTGGGGTGTACTAGATCTAACAGAGTAAGCTACCATATTTTTAGTTGCTGTTAATATCCAATATTTCTCTTCCTAAGCTAAATAATTATCCCACTAATTTTTTAACATTCCCAAAAATCCAGATATTAAAAGTTGTGCACATTCTCTATCATTATGTCCTTATTTTTAATGAACTTGAGGTCATATCCATATTTTGAAGTATTTGTATACTTGATGTTCAATTAAACCATCTATATTCTATTCATAAATTGATTCACCCATGTACTAGTAAGATTGGTGTAAATGAGTTTTTTCAAATTGCATGTTTGGAAAAGAGGGTCTAGGATAGAAATTTCTTCCATGATATGTCCGAGACAGAAAAGAATGAGATTGGGTAGATCGAATTTTGTTTATTTTGAAAATAGGTTTATAAAATAAAGTTTTTCTTGAAATTGATTTATAAGGTCATCTAAATTTGATTTACGTTGGGATAATACACTAATTTGTTTAGAAGATTCTGATTTTTAGAATTTTCTTGAAGATCTAATTTAGCTAATTTGTCAGAAATTGTTTTCATTAAGTCGGAGTAATTTGGTAATTTAACAGTTTTTGGTAGGTCAAAAGGTTTGAATAATGGTTTACTTGGATCTACTTGTGGAGATTTATTAGTAGGAATAGTGGGTCTTAAATTATTTAAGTCTTTTAATTGATTAGTTGTAGTATGTGATACTTGATTAGTAGCATCATTATTTTCTTGAATAATTTTCTTAAAATCCTTATTAGTTGGAATTTTATTTTCTTCTAAAGTAATTTTAAAAGGTGAAGTTGTAATAATTTGATTTTCTATTTTGAATTTTTATTTCTTCTTATGGGAGATAGGTAGAAATAGTTGAATGTCCTAAACTAGTTTGCCTTGTTTTATTTCCTACTAGTAGAATAGTAGTTTTTATATGTATTGCAAGCATATAAGATTCATCAATCAACAATGCAAAATCATGATCAAACAACAATTGATTTCACCTAACATTGGATACGAATAACTTAGCTAGGTTAGGCTTACTTAGGCTTTCCCCTATATGTCGGCAGGTGTAAGGTGGCCTACTTTGTTGAGGTGTGTCAGAAGGTCCCGGGGAAAATAGTGTCTTGGAAGACTAAGTTTTTATCGTCAGGGGGAAGGATCACTTTGATCAAGTATGTTCTGTCCGCTATTCCGATGCACTTGCTATCTACGGCAGTAATTCCCAAGGCTGTGTTCCGGGCTATCGAGCGAACCTGTGCCAACTTTCTGTGGGGGGCTTCAAAGGAGGGATCAAGGTATCATTGGATTGGCTGGACTAAGCTTTATCTCCCGCCTGAGGAGGGAGGGGCGGGGTTTTGTCGGCTTAGCGATATATACGGCTTTCTCTTACAAGCTCTGGTGGCAGTTCCGGACCAGGTCGTCCTTGTGGGTTTCCTTCATGCAGGCAAAGTATTGTCGAGGCATTCATTCTTGCCAAGCGGAGTGTAAGCCGTTTGCCTCAGCGACATGGAAACAGATGCTGGACATCAGCCGCTAGGTTGAGCTATCCATGCTATGGTTGGTACAAGTTGGGTCGTGTCATTTTTGGTATGATAATTGGTTGGGTAGTAGACTAGTGGAGCATTGTTTCTCAAACTCCAGTGGTCTCACATCTATCCTTCTGCGACTTTATTTCCCAGGGTCACTGGGATGCTCATCTCCTGGCTCAGTTCCTTCCACGGGATATGATGTCTTTTGTGTTGGGGAAGCCGGTCCCCACTGAACATTCTACTGATGAGGTGGTGTGGATGCTGGAGAGTTTTGAGAAATTTTCGTTAGCCTCGGCCTATCATGAGGTACGGCATGTCGGCAATGCTTCAGTCATGCTCTCTAGGGTTTGGCAGCGTCCAACCCCCGTCAAGGTATCATTTTTCATGGTTCAACTTCTAATGGGTCGATTGCCCTTGGATGACGTGCTCTGTACGTTTGGGTTTCATGTCCCGTCAAAATGTGTATGTTGCCTTTCCCCGGCAGCGGAGTCCATTGAGCATGTGTTTGCCACAGGTAAGGTTGCTATGGCAATATGGGCATTCTTTGGGAGTTTGTGTGGCATCTCTAGCATAGTCCCGTAGGTGCGGGGCCATTTGGCTTCTTGGTGGTTGGCGGGGCCTAGCTCGGAAAGGCAGCAGGTTCTTTATCATACTCTCCCGAGCATACTTTGTTAGCATATTTGGAAGGCTAGGAATAGAGCAGTCTTTGAGGGTATTCAACCGCATCCCCCTTCAATTTGCCAGGATATTTTTCTGGAGACCACATTCCTTCTTGAAGGGCAGTTCAAGCAGTATGTTGGGGCTTGGTTGTTTTTGCAGTTGTGTGATTGGTCGTCTCAGTCGGGGCAGCGTTTCGAGATCAAACTTGTTTGTTGGGAACCAGCTGTAATGGGAGCACTTACCTTGAACACGGATGGCTGCTCTAGGAGTAATCTTGGGCCATGTGGTGGTAGAGGAGTGCTACAGGATCCATCGGGGTGCCCCTTGGTGGGATTTTCGGCTTTTTTGGAAGTGACATTTAGCTTCCAGGTAGAAACGCTGGCTCTTCTAATGGGGCTTCGGATATGTGTTCAAAAGGGGTTCACGAATGTTAGCATTCAATTGGATTCTCTGGTGTTGGTGGGGATTCTTCAACTCCGACTTCACTATCCTTGGCATATCCGCTTGGAGGTCCGGCAAATATGGAAGCTGGCAGGAGATCCCCCTAGGCTTTTCCATTATTTTAGAGAGGCAAATAAGGTGACAGATACTTTGGCTAATGTTGGGGTAGCACACCCCCACCATGCTGTTAAGCTCTATGAGCATTGGAATGAATGGCCGAGGCTGGCTTGCGGAGGAATTAGCCTAGATAGCATGGGAGCTCCTTCTGTTAGGAGAGTGCGAACCCCCTAACGCAAGCAACATTGTTATTGGCTTTCTTTGTACTTTGAGGTTTATGAATAAAAGCGGGGGTGGCGTCCCTCCCCGTGAACGGGGTTAGCCAAAAAACAAAAAACTTAGCTAGACATATTAAAAGTCAAGAGTACAATAAAGAAATAAACAACATGGAATCAATTAAAAGAGAAAAGAAAAGGTACTATTATTCCTATATAGGTGAAGAGCTCTATCTTCTTCTAACCTAACTAGAAGAAATAAGAAGAGAAACTACTCTAACCAACACTACTACTGAAAATAATTTTATTTGAGATCAACATTATCAATAGACTCCAAAATATCCCTCAAGCTCTCTAGAATTTGTCCATAAAGCTCTCTTTTATAGATGAAAAGAATTGAAAATCGACTAGGAAAAGGAATCCCTAGTAGGACATAATTTGGTCTATTTTACCCTTAATTTGAGACAGAAATATCTTAGTGAAACATGCTAATTTAGCTCTTGAATTAAAAACAAATGTTATAGTCAATTGAATCAACTTTCCAATGGGTCAAAAATCAGGTCATTGGGATGTCTAAGTGCAGAGTTATTCTCGAAATGCCATCAAATTGATCAATAGGTAATTATGGAAGTTTTTGAAAACGTAATCTCAAAAAATTGATTCTATAATCCAAATTTTTGGAGGAAAATGGCAAAACTGTACCTTGATATCTTCACACCCTTGATCTTCAACCTATAAAGTCTAAGAGTGGATGCAATTTGTCAAAAAGTTTAGTCATCTGGCTGACGTGTCATATTGCAATTGGCTGGTTTGTGGTCATCCAACTAATGTTCAGGTCATGTGCCAAGTTGGAGAAATTTAAAGTCTCATCATTTTTTCTTATTTTATTATTACCAATTTGGATAAAATATTAGGATGAGATTGGCGAGATTTTCACCTCAAGTTGTTCCTTTGCCCCTCGAATCAAGTTCACTCAGAAGCAAGACAGAAAGTACAATCAATTGATACTTGCCTGGTTGGTTATTGGCTTGAGGAATGCTATCAAACTTCTTGAGAAAATTCTTAAATTGTTATAAAAAAAAAAGTTGTTCTATAAGAGGGGTTGTTTTTGGAGTTCTAGGATCTTGGCATTTGTCAAATGCAAATTTAAGGAGTTTGCATTTGACAAATATGAGGTTAGTGTTTTTGGGAAAAAAATGATGAAGGTGTTTGGTTTTAAAAAAAATAAAAAGATAAAAGGGCAAATGCGAGCTTTGCAAGCTATCTTCCCAAATAAGCTGTGCATCTTCAAAATAGAGTAGCTTCTTCTAACCCCCTAACACCCTAAGGCCATTTCAAATTTGGGAACACCAAAATGAAGATGAAATTGAGGCCAATACCAAGATTAAGTCATTATAAACTTAGCATCCATCATTAGCTTTTAAACATTCAAGGAAGTTCCAGTTTTTTAGCAACTTTTTCCAATAGCTGCAAAATTGACTCCATCGCCGGAAAGGTTCAAAATATTGACCGCGCAAACAGCGGGGCTGCTCCATCCATCACAACGTGCTTGAGGTAGGTTTTGTGAGAATCCATAGCTATTTGTAAGGGTTGAAATATAAGCTTCTATGCTTTTATTTTTATTTTTTAAATCTATTCAGACCACCAACCATGGGAAAGCTCACAAGCTTAGTAGAAGTAAGAGTTGGGGATTGGGGCATACAACCAGTACAAGGGTCACTTTTTTGAAGAAATTCTAATGTCATAAAGTTTCAGTTTGAGAATGGCAGATTAGTTTCTAAAAAGCGACAGAAACAATGGCATAATTTCTAGTTCTTAACGTTGGCTACCTTTCCCTCTTCTACTATGTTGTCCATTTATTTATAATGCAATTAATGTCTATATTGATGCATTCAAGTTGAGTTTTTTTCTTGTTTAAGTACGAAAGTGACTATTTTTATTGAATATAACTTTCTCATTGATCCAGTTGCATGATGGTTGGGTATCATTTGATGCTTCATTTTGGTTTTGAAAAGTGTCTCCTCAACTTGGGTACATGCTACTAAATTCTGTCCATAAGAATTCAAAGAGAAGAAGTAAAAGATTATTTGAGACTCCTTTTCCAAAAAAGAAAAGGAAATATAATTCTCATTTCTGGTTTTTGTAACAAAAAGCATAAGTGACTTTACCGAAAAATAAATGTTTTCAAACCAATTTAGTGAAGTAAAGCTTGCGATATATATATATATATATATATATTAACAAAGAGAAAATCCATAGTCAAAGAGTGATATAGTTCCAATTACTACTGAAAATAAACCAAATAGCGAGGAATGTGATCTCTTTGACTCATATAAACTTTTTAAGTAATAATCCATGGAAATATGTATGAAGTTTCAGCCACTATAATTATTAACCAAGTTGGGGTGCAGTACAAACTAAGATGACGAATTCTACTTTAGATCCATCATCTCCCATCCATTTAACACACTTGAGGTTCCACAAACGCCACCAAAGACAGTAAAAATATCTCTAAACAATGTTTGTGGAAATTATTTAATCTTCATAGGCTTCAATAAATAGTCCAAACTCAAAATTGTCTACTATCCAAGTAATGAATGCCTTAGTACTTTTACTCCAGGAAGAGAGTAACACAATGATGATGTGTCTTCTCTTTTTCACATGCCATCTTCCAGCATGTAAAATGCCTCTCAAAGGACATAAGGTACCATGAGACTTCTAAAACCAGAACTTACAATTTTGAAAATGTAAATAATCATAATGAGCTCAATATATACTAAATAGATTCTTAATGTTTGTTTCTAAATTAACTCCTATGTAATTTGATGGTTATATATCAATGCTTTAATTTGTTTAGTAGTTGACATGATGATCTATAAAGAAACTCACCTGTTTCTTGCTTATTGAATCACCAAGATTTCTTTCTGCCTAATCATCAATAAATGGTCAACAGATGAAAACAGGTCATTGTGATTGTATCCCACTTTTAAAATTCAAAGTTCTTGATTGCAAGTACGAGTATATCCCTGTTCAAACTAATTTTTGCATTTCTAAATTCCATCACAGCTCGTTTCTCTCTCTCTCTCTCTCTCTCTCTCTCTCTTTCCTTGGTTCTCCTCCCCTCTACTAAGTTCTTTGAAGACAATATTTTTTCCACTTTATGAGCTGGTATATTTTAATTTTTTTTCTATCATAGCATGGCTCATTGGTGTGCCTTTATTAGGAATATGATGAAGTCATGCCACTGGTCACGACTTACGAATGTTATGTTGTGCATTGATAGTTGGAAAATTGGATTGGTTGGTAAGGAGTTTTAGCCTATTTATAGTGGAGAAACTATCAAAATTTTTTCAAAAATTCTACTGAGTTTGAGAAATACATGGTGTGATTATTTTTTATTTTTTTGGTTCATTGTTAACTCCGTTGTGTTCATACAGGTGCACACAAAGTTGGTGATACAAGTTTAACACTTGAAGAGGTTTTGGTTGGTACCACTAGAATCAAATCCATAGAAGTGCATCTTTGGAATTTGAGACTAGTCACTGGGTAAGTTTATAAGTTTACAACTTTAACAAGGTTTTCTCTCTTTAGATTTAAAAAAAATTCTTAAATTGTTATGTTAAAAAATAAATTTCTTAAATAAGATGTGTGACTAGGGTTTGGCCACATGGCCCAATCTTGGCCCTTTTTTCCCTTAATTTTTGACCAATGAAGTTTCTACCTTCCAAATGTTCCAATGTCTATTTAACACCTCTAAACTATTATATAAAGTCCCAACCACAAATAAAAGGACATTTGGTCAAAGTATATCTAATGGGATAAAAATAAATTGCCATGTCCAGGAAATATTTCAATTCAAATAAAAGGTAATGTAATGCAAAGCAAGGAAATATTTTAAGTGATTTAATCTTAGGGCAAGGCAAGTAGTCTATGACAATTTATATTTTAAAGTGAGGGTTCTTACAGCGTGAATCGATGTGCGCCGTTTGTTACTAGTTGAGTACACCATATGACCAATACTTTCTTTCTCTAATCTCCTTGTTTTTATTTCATTTAATCTTCCCCAAAATTAACCCTAAGTTGGCCGAAAATATTGATCAAGAGGAAGGAAAGAAAAGAAAAAAAAAGTGGAAAAACTTGGCCTTGCCAAGTGTCGACGATCTAAGCTTGTTTAACCAGGAGACTTTTTTTTCTTCTTATCTTTCTTTTGGCTAAACTTTCCTTTATTTCTTTCTTGTCTTGGCCGAGAGTTTGGAAAGGAAAAGAGAGAAGAAAAATCACCAACTTCATCTTGATTCTTGCCTTGTTTGAGTTGGAATCATAAAATTAAACCGAATAAACTAGCACCAAGAGAGCAAGGAAGCTTGTAGTGGAGGGTGTTTTTTGGAGAGAAAGCCTTGGTTCTTCACTTTCTTCAAGGGGTTGAAGGTATGTGATGACTCCATTTCCCCCAGAGGTGTACCCCAGGGTTTAGAGGACCGCCTGCCTAGCTCTCGCCAAGATTCAATCACTCACTTCAAATAAAATAGGATACAATCTCAAGAATAAATGAAATAATAGCTCCAAAGTTTGGAATGCACGAATACATTCATTTCGATTCCAAACATTCGTACAATTCCAAATATATCAAAAGATATGAGTTTCAGATACATTCAGTCCTAATCGAGCACTAACGCGAGTACAATCGCAAAATTTTTTAAAAAATAAGACTATGTTAGCCTGTACCAGTCTCACGCCCTCTTTTGTACACCCTGTAAGGAAAACAAATGGCGTGGAATGAGTTAAAAGCTTAGTGAGGTTCCAAATAGCAAGTTGACCCTTATTTAAAAGTACAAGTATCAAGGTAGCAAAGTAGTGAGTATAACAAATTCATAAAAGCGAACAATAACACTTCAAGTAGCAAATTTCAAAATGAGCGAGTGTAAAATTCTTTTTTTCTAAAAGAAACAATAACACTACGAATAACAATCAACGTTTAAGGATACAGATGGCTCTTCAGAGCCAAATTTTCGTTGTTTC